TTAGTGGGTGTGCCTATAGCATCACACTAATACTTGGAGAGTTAGTGGGTGTGCCTATAGCATCACACTAATACTTGGAGAGTTAGTGGGTGTGCCTATAGCATCACACTAATACTTGGAGAGTTAGTGGGTGTGCCTATAGCATCACACTAATACTTGGAGAGTTAGTGGGTGTGCCTATAGCATCACACTAATATTTTACGATTCTCGTCCCGTACCAAATTGGATGAAAACGTAACCATGTCATATTTTTCGTTGGTGTTATTTGCTGTGATGTAGTTAGTCAGACTTTCCCATCCTGTGTTTTGAATGTATTGAGATACGATTACAATCGTTGTAAGCACATTATACGAATTCCCATTGGAAAGGAATTTCCCATCTAATCCCGTGAAGTATTCAGAATTAGTTTGACTGACATAAAGTGCTGTATATTTTTGAGATATGAATAACAGTGCTTGTTTTATTTTATGTTCTACATAGTCCAATAATTTTTGGAGACACATTGATTATTTGCAGCCAGATTGTTTCTGAGAAAGATATTATAGTCGCAGTGACAACATTTGCATGGAATCACATAGAATCGCATTGGTGTCTAGATAGGTAAATGTGATATTGACTGCATGGCCATTATGTGTGTGCTTTCTGAGATCGTGATCAGTAGTATAAAAACTGAGAGGACTCGCAGACCCCTCCCTCTCCCTCCTTCTCAAACCATAACCACTCTGACAGGCCCAAGTCCCATTTAAAAATAACATCATGAATAGAAAGAGATTGCAAGTAAGAACCCGAGAAAGACAACATTTAAGGGAAGAGATGGAAAGATAGGCAACGTAGGAGGGAAATGATTTAACGAAAGGCAAAGTGAGTGGGAACAGATTAAGGACAATGCCGTTGGAATGGAAAGAAATGAAGGGAAAGTCAATGTGAAAAGATATATAAGGAGGCGTCATGGATGAGACAAGGTAAAAAGAAAGCCAATGTGAATAGGAAGAGACGAAAGCAAGACAATGTGAATGGAACAATATGGAAAGGAAGGCTATTGCTATTGGGAAGAGATTAAATGGAAGGCCAAGAATCTAATGGACCAACTACATCAAAGATTTGTCAGGAAACAATTATGAACAATAAAAAGAATGACACAAATAACACTTGACTTCCAGTGAAGAAAGGGCACCTGATGTCAATACTCATGAGTTTGATTATGTTAATGATATTAAACAGATATTACAATTGCTGACTGCCATTACAAATATTTTAGTCATTATGGTAATTGGCTACCATTAAAACCTATAATCAGATATTAAAGTAGGAAGCTACCATTCAAACGTTGTTCAGCAACATACAGTGAAAAAATCAAGTGGTATTACGAGGCGCGGAATGTAAATTTATTATTTTGTGTATACTAGAAGAAAACGTTCTAATAATTCAAAATTACGTACATATTTACGAGGCGCGGAATGTAAATTTATTATTTTGTGTATACTAGAAGAAAACGTACTAATAATTCAAAATTACGTACGTATTGGAGGCCGTGGCGTGTGTGTTTTAAAATGATGTGTGCATTTAAAAAAACGGCGTGACTGTGCGTTTTAATGGTATGTGCTTTAAAAAAATCATGTGTGTATATTAAATGGCGTGGATGTTTTAAAAAACGTGTGTTTTAAAAATGACGTGTGTGTTTTTAAAAATGGTGTGTGTTTAAAAATGACGTGTGTGTTTAAAAA